ACCAATCGTTTGCACTGTACAGTGTGCGACGTCTCGTACACTGCGCCTTCGACAACGTTCGATCGCAATTAGCATTTCCATCTGCTGCCCGCGCTTGAGAACCCTCTTCGCCGCCGACTTCAAAGTGTGTGTGTGTGTGTGTGGTACCCGTGCTGGGCCAGTTCGGTTCCGGTCTGGTCCTGGTTCGGATCTGCTTTCGGTCTGGTTCGGTTGCAACCAGTTCGGTTGTATGTGGATCCGGTTCGGCCCGGTTCGTTTTTTTTTTTTTTTTTTTTTTTTTTTTTTTTTTTTTTTTTTTTTTTTTTAAAAAAAAAAAAAAAAAAAAGGTTTTGCCGGTTCGGTCTGGTTCGGTCACGGTTCTCGGTTCTCGGCTTGGTTTTGTTCTATCGTGCTCAATGAGGATCCCTTCCAGGAGGCCAAAAGAGTCCCAAACCTAAGGCAAATGATTGTGTTTTGCTTTCTCGCCGAGGCCATTTTGGACGCTCCGATGGGTAACCTTCCCGTCCACGGTCGGTCCAAGGGTAGCGGGTAGGGGGAGGGGTCAAGACACCCCCTAGATAGCAAACCGTCTGGCTTACTCCCACCCGCCCTCCTAACACATAGTAGCACCCGAGCCTCAGCATGTCCAGCGGTCGTCGTTGGATGGGCAGCAAAGCCGACCTCATGTTCGCGGCGCTGGGGCGAGGTGCGCCACGCGTGCCAGGCGCGCCACGCGCTCCAGGCACCCGTGGGGCCCGAGCGTGCCAGGCACGCATGATCCGCCAGATGCGCCACGTGCTCCACGTTCGCCAGGTGTGCCGCATACTCTGGCCGCGCCAGGTGCGGCACGTTCGGGGCACGTGCAAAGTGTGTCAGGTGCGCCCGCGCACGTGACAGCACACATCGGGAAACATGTCGGCCCCCACCATCCTTGTCGAAACCACTGCCCGTCATTGTGTCTGGTGGGCCTGCGCACAGCAGGCCGTACGCCAACACCTTTGCCGTCCCTACCAAAAACCTCTTGGCAGTTATCGCGGGATGGCTGCGTATGATCCACATTCAGCCGCGAGGTGCATTTTGTATTGCTTTTTGTTCAGGATGGTAGCCCTGCGCGCAGCAGGCAACATGCTGACCCCCCGTCGTACTTGTCAACAAACAATAAAAAGTGCTCGCGGGCCTCACGAACATAACTCAAGACTGAGTCCCAATGTGTATTTTGCACTTATTTTCGAAAAGAATGGTGGGGGGGGCGCATCGGTTGGCCGCGCATGCTCAAAATGCGGAGGCGGAGTGCGTTGTGTGTTGTTTTTTTCCCGGAAAGGGCCTGAGCCCAGGGTTCTCTTTTAGTTGGTTTCCCCCCGGTTTTGACGGCTGTAGAGCCGGCGAATTTTTTTCCGATAAATAACGAGGTCGCGTAGGGCCGGCGAATTAAATTTTGAGGATGTCTCGAGCGAAACGCTTGTTTTTCAGAATTTGTTGAGGATGTCTCGAGCGAAACGCTGGTTTTGCAGAGTTGGGGATGTCTCGAGCGAAACGCTTGGTTTCAGAATTTGTTGAGGATGTCTCGAGCGAAACGCTGGTTTTGCAGAGCCGACCGCGACACGGAAAAGCGCTCCTCGCGCAGGAATTCCGAGGATGTCTCGCGCGTGCCGCGTCCCGCACGCAGGAAATTTGATTTCTTTGGGTTTTGACAGGATTTCTCAAGCGAAACGCTTGTTTTTCATAATTTGTTGAGGATGTCTCGAGCGAAACGCTGGTTTTGCAAAATTGGGGGATGTCTCGAGCGGGGGCCTCGTGGGGGGCCAGAATTCAGAGGTTATCTCAGGCGCAATGTTTGTTTTCGTGTCCCGCTCGCAGGAATTCCGAGGATGTCTCGCGCGTGCCGCGTCCCGCGCGTAGGAATTCGGATGATTGTGATAGGATGTCTCGAGCGAAACGCTTGTCCCCAGCACTTTCAGTAGCGCGTCCCCTTGGCACGTCCCGCGTTGCGACCCCATGGCACGTCCCCTGGCACGTCGCCTGGCGCATCCCTTGGGACGTTTCGCGGCGCGTCCTCCTGGCATGTTCCCCTGTCCATTAGCTCTGGGGCAGCTACTATGTGTTCAGGCAGCTCGAGCTTAAGATCCAGATCAGTCCGGTCAGGACTCGGATGCAAAGGAGGACTCGATCCACGAGGCTATAGAGCACAGTCGCGCCATGGCACATCGCAATTCAGCACGGCGCAGCACAGCACGGCCCTCGGCAGGGTACATCAAGATCGATACACTCAGCATTGCAACTTGGCACGTTCCTTGGCACGTTCCGTGGGGCGTCCCTTGGCGAGTCCCCCTGGCACGTCGCGTGGCGCGTCCCCTGGCACATGGCACATCCATTGGCACGTTCCGTAGCGCGTCCTTTTGGCACGTCCTACGGTGCGACCCCATGGCGCGTCCCCTGGCACGTCGCCTGGCGCATCCCTTGGGACGTTTCGTGGCGCGTCCTCCTGGCATGTTCCCTGTCCATTAGCTCTGGGGCAGCTACTATGTGTTCAGGCAGCTCGAGCTTAAGATCCAGATCAGTTCGGTCAGGACTCGGATGCAAAGGAGGACTCGATCCACGACGCTATAGAGCGCAGTCGCGCCATGGCACATCGCAATTCAGCACGGCGCAGCACAGCACAGCCCTTGGCAGGGTACATCAAGATCGATACACTCAGCATTGCATTTGCCCGTCACCCAATCAGGTGTCTTTGAAAACGCTGCCATGTGTTACAGTTCTATATTCCTTTCCGGGTTCGTGGGTCGATCATGTTGACAGGGGTGGTGGGGTGGAGGCGCATGTTTCCTGGTTGGCTGGCGGTCGCCTGGGCGAGGGGTGTATATTTATATGGAACAATGATAAAAACCCTCCCGGAAAGGGAAGAACGGGGTTGGCAAACCATTCACGCTCAGAGGGCTGGTGGGATTGCGCTGGCCCAGGCTGTATCATTGCTGGCACCGGCCTGCGTGCTCAGAGAGCAACGCCACACGGAACACATCCCGACTGGCGCTTCACCACCGAAGTCCGAAAAAGGACGAGAGGGCAGTTATGGTGAAAACCATGAGGGCATTTGTGCTATGTTTTGCTGAGCCCCATCGTGCGATGTCGGGGCATTGGGGAGGAATTCTGGGAGTTCCTTAGCGGCAGCGGGGTGCCCGATGCCTCTCTAAAGGTTTCCTCGGAGCCTCACGGGGCCATCCTGGACGATTCTGGCTCAAGGTAAATTATTTCTCCAACATACTTACGATTATAATTCTTATTATCTTTATTATTAGTAGTACTATCACCATTTTTATGCTGATTATGATTAAGATGTTGATTCTGGTTATGCTTATGATTATGCTTATGAGTCTGATTGTGATGATGATGATTATGATTTTGATCATGAGTAGTATCATTAGTAGTATGGCTGCTGCTATCGTTATTGACATCATCATCATCATCCTCATTATGAGTATTTACTATTTTGGATTCGTATTATTAGTATTATTGTTGTTATTCGTATCCTTATCATTCGTAAGAGTAGTAGTAGTAGTAGTAGTAGTAGTAGTAGTAGTAGTAGTAGTAGTAGTAGTAGTAGTAGTAGTAGTAGTAGTAGTAGTAACAGTTATAGTAGTAGTAGTAGTAGTAGTAGTAGTAGTAGTAGTAGTAGTAGTAGTAGTAGTAGTAGTAGTAGTAGTAGTGTAGTGGTAGTGGTAGTAGTAGTAGTAGTAGTAGTAGTAGTAGTAGTAGTAGTAGTAGTAGTAGTAGTAGTACTAGTAGTAGTAGTTAGTAGTAGTAGTAGTAGTAGTAGTAGTAGTAGTAGTAGTAGTAGTAGTAGTAGTCGTAGTAGTCGTAGTAGTAGTAGTAGTAGTAGTAGTAGTAGTAGTAGTAGTAGTAGTAGTCGGAGTCGGAGTAGTAGTAGTAGTAGTAGTAGTAGTAGTAGTAGTAGTAATAATACTATTGTTAGTGTTGTATGCTGAATGTTGTGATCATAAGTTGTATGACTATATTTTAATATCACTACTATTATTACGTTTCCGACGTAATCACACGTTGGTTCGAGCTCAGAGTTGAGGCGGCCGCAGAGTGATTCCAGGCACGGAGGCAACCGACATGCAAGTCCCTGGAGCCGTGGTGCGCCTCGCCGTGGCGCTCCTGCTGCTGCGATCCGCGCGCGCGCGCTGACAGTTCGAGGGGTGTCTCGCCGACGGCGCGTGCCAGGATGACGAGGCCGAGACCTCCACCCTGCTGCAGGCCAAGGTGTGCAGAGGAGGCGCCGCGCTGCTGCAGGCCGGGGCGACCCATGCACTCGACCGCGCCGAGGACGCGAGGGCCGGGTCGTCCAGCGTGGCCGAGGCTGCCGAGGCATCTTCTGCGGCGGGGCCTCGGGCGAGGAGGCTGACGAGACTGACGAGGCGGACGCGGCCGAGACTGCGGAGGCCTCGGGCGAGGCGGACGAGGGGTCCGACGAGGAAGCGGGCGAGGCTGACCATGGGGACTGCGACGAGGCGGACGAGGCCGTGGCCGACGAGACCTCCGACGAGGCGGGGCTTGCGCAGGCAATCGACGAGGCCCTGGCAGAGGAATCGTTCAACAGGGCAGCCGACGAGGCCTCCGACGCGGCGGGGTCTGCCGAGACATCTGGCGATCCATGACTGTTGCGTCTGCCGGGGTGCAACTGCTGAGTGGGACTGCGCTCGCGCAGAGTGCTGGTCGACCGGGGGAAAGGGCCGACGAAGAGGACGACAGGCTTCGATGGAGGTCGCCCTGGAGTTTGGGGTTAAGTCGGGCCTGTCCCTCTACAGGAGGAAGCGTCAGACAGAGTCAAAGCATACTGTGGGGGCGATTCTGCGACTACTTTTTTGGCTATCTTGGAGTCTCTTCTTGGCCGTTTTTGAGTCCTCGTCCACAGCCCGCCTGTGGGCGGACGTGCGCCCGACCTGAGCTTAGCTGGAGGTCGCCCTAGAGTTTTGGGGCCACGGGGGCCCCGCTCCGCGCCTTCTCTCTCTCTCTCTCTCTCGGAGGAGGAGGAGGAGGAGGAGGAAGAGGAGGAGGAGGAGGAGGAGGAGGAGGAGGAGGAGGAGGCGGAGGCGGAGGATAGGAAGAGGGGAGAGGAGGAGGAGAGGAAGAGGAGGAGGAGGAGGAGGAAAGGAGGAGGAGGAGGAGGAGGAGGAGGAGGAGGAAAAGGAGGAGGAGAAGGAGGAGGAGGAGGAGGAGGAGGAGGAGGAAAAGGAGGAGGAGGAGGAGGCAAACCACAAACTGTTCTCAGAGCTTTCTTTGGTGGGCCCATAGGAGGGTCCCAGTCCTCCTGGTGGCGTGGCCCCCGCCTCCCGCCGTGGGCGGGAGGCATGTCCGTACCCACGGCCCCGCTGGCCGGCCCCACGGTCCGCGACCTCACGGGCACGGAGCATTTTCTCGCGGCTGCCCCGCGCGGGACGCACCCCTGCGACCCTTATAGATCACCCAAGGAAGGGCTACCCTGGGCTTACCCCTAGGGCCTACCCCCAGGGCTACCCTCGGGCTACCCCTAGGGCCTACCCCTAGGGCCTACCCCTAGGGCTACCCCTAGGGCCTACTTCTAGGGCCTCTACCCCTAGGGCTACCCCTAGGGCCTACCCCTAGGGCCTACCCCTAGGGCTACCCCTAGGGCCTACCCCTATAGGGCTACCCTAGGGCTACCCCTAGGGCCTACCCCTAGGGCTACGCATCGCGCCCCCGGAGCCCAGACCGCGAGAGCGTGGACACGTCGGGCGGGGCCGGGACGGGGATGCACTTTTCCGGAGCTTCCCAGAACGCTCGCAGAGCGTCCCCTGACGCTCTGAGGAGGCCGCGGCGCCCGATGCCTCCCCCAGCACAGCCGGATCTCAGAGACCCCCGATTTTTCCTGGTCCGATTCTGTCCCTGTCCTGGCTTCGTCTTGATACGGATCTGTTCGCCGCTCGTTCGTCGTCGTCGTCGTCGTCGTCGTCCTCTCTCGTGCCCTCGCTCGAGGCACCTCCCTGCCCTGCTCTCGGGCCGCGCGTCGCGCGTCGCGCGCGCATGCCGCCTGCGCGCCCCTTTGGGTCTCACAGCGGGCTGGGCACGGGCAGGTGGAGCGAGACCGCGAGGAGGCGTATGAGGCCGCGGACCTCCCGCTTCGCCCCCGCCTCTCTCCCGTGCCTCCTGTGCCTCCTCCTCCTCCTCCTCCTTTTCCTTTTCCTCCTCCCCCTTTTTCCTTCCCCTCCTTCCACCCCTCCTCTCCCTCCTCCTCCTGCTTCCTCCGCTTCTCCTCCTCCTCCTCCTCCTCCTCCTCCTCCCCTCCTCCTCCTCCTCCTCCTCCTCATCCTCCTCCCCCCTCCCCTCCTCCTCCCCCCCCCCCCCCTCGTCGTCGTCGTCGTCTCCTCCTCCCTCCTCCTCCTCCCTCCTCTCCCTCTTCTTCCTTCCCTTACTCCTTCCCTCTTCCCCCTTCCCCCCTCAACTACTGCCATCCTCCTACGCTTCCTCCCCCACTCCTCCCCCGCTTCCTCTTCCTCCTCCTCCTCCTCCTCCTTCTCCCCTCCTCCTCCTCCTCCTCCTCCTCCTCCTCCTCCTCCTCCTCCTCCTCCGTTCCTTTTCCTGGTAACTAGCTCCTCCCTGTCGCGCCTCGAGGCGTGTCTGCAGGGCGGGCCAGGCGTTTCGCTTGAGGTTTCCTCACCGTTAATGATCCGTGAGCTGAGAATTTGCAAGAGTTTCAACGATGGAGGGCGGGTCGTTTTCAAATCTCGCTCTTGCCTAATCGCCGCGCGCATTCGCCTGACTCAAATCGCATGAGTTCCACGGATGGGGGTTGGGTCGCTCAACATGTGGCTCTCGCCTTAGCGCCGCGCATATTCGGTTCAAAACATTGCAAGAGTTTCACGGATGGAGGGCGGGCCGTTTTCAAAATGTGGCTCTAGCCGTAGCACCGCGCGCATTCGCTTCAAACATTTTCATGGGTTTCACGGATGCAAGGCGGTTCGCTTTGAACATGAGGCTCTCGCCTTAGCGCCGAGCGCTCTCGCCTCAGCGCCGCGCACATTCTTGTTAAGAGTTTACAGCAGTCTCAGAGATGCTCATGGTGAACGTCCCAGAATTGGTGTTTTGGCATTCTGGCAGGGCGCAGCAGTTAGATTGATTCGCGGTGCTGATGTCCCAGGGATGGTGCTCTGGTGCGATTCAGGATCGCCAAACGCAAGAGCGACGATGGTTCGCGGCGTTGAAGTCCCAGGAAGGGTGTGCTGGCACAGTTCAGGATTTTCAAAAGGTTATCTTCGTACGGGGCACTTCCCTCAGTGAAAATGTATCCTTGTAGGGGCTTATCAAGAGGGAACTTGGAGGTTTATTGCAAGATTGTTAATGCGTCTTGGGTTTATACTGGTCGTCCTACTGTTCCTCCTCGTCCTCCTGCTCCTTCTCCCTCATCCTTTTCCTCCTCGTCCACTCCCTCCTCCCCTCCTGATCCTACGACATCCTACATACCGACCTGCAATGTTCGCCTAATCATACCACCCCCCCAAGGACCCCTCCTCAGGACCCACCCAATCGTCGTTCGTCGTCCTCATCTCCTAAAATCCCCTTCATCCACCTGCCTTCTCCTCCCCCTTTCTCCTCCCCCTCTTTACCCATCCCCCCCTCCCCCCCCTCCTGCCACTTCCTCCACTTCCTCCTTTCGCCTCCCCACCCCCTCTCCCTCGTTCCCTCTCCTCCTCCTCTTCCTTCCTACCTCCCTCTCCTCCTCCTCCCTCTAATCCTCCTCACTCCTTACATCTTCCTCGTCCTCCTTATCCTCCTCCTCCTCGTCCTTGTTCCTGGTAACTAGCTCCTCCCTGTCGCGCCTCGAGGCGTGTCTGCAGGGCGGGCCAGGCGTTTCGCTTGAGGTTTCCTCACCGTCAATGATCCGTGAGCTGAGAATTTGCAAGAGTTTCAACGATGGAGGGCGGGTCGTTTTCAAATCTCGCTCTTGCCTAATCGCCGCGCGCATTCGCCTGACTCAAATCGCATGAGTTCCACGGATGGGGGGTGGGTCGCTCAACATGTGGCTCTCGCCTTAGCGCCGCGCATATTCGGTTCAAAACATTGCAAGAGTTTCACGGATGGAGGGCGGGCCGTTTTCAAAATGTGGCTCGAGCCGTAGCACCGCGCGCATTCGCTTCAAACATTTTCATGGGTTTCACGGATGCAAGGCGGTTCGCTTTGAACATGAGGCTCTCGCCTTAGCGCCGAGCGCTCTCGCCTCAGCGCCGCTCATGAGTTTCACGGATGCAAGGCGGTTCGCTTTGAACATGAGGCTCTCGCCTTAGCGCCGAGCGCTCTCGCCTCAGCGCCGCGCACATTCTTGTTAAAGGTTTACAGCAGTCTCAAAGATGCTCATGGTGAACGTCCCAGAATTGGTGTTTTGGCATTCTGTGGGACTGGCAGGGCGCAGCAGTTAGGTTGATTCGCGGTGCTGATGTCCCAGGGATGGTGCTCTGGTACGATTCAGGATCGCCAAACGCAAGAGCGACGATGGTTCGCGGCGTTGAAGTTCCAGGAAGGGTGTGCTGGCACAGTTCAGGATTTTCAAAAGGTTATCTTCGTACGGGGCACTTCCCTCAGTGAAAATGAATCCTTGTAGGAGCTTATCAGGAGGGAACTTGGAGGGAGGTTTATTGCAAGATTTTACCTAACAGCGAAGACTGATAGGTTTCTAGTGGTGTAAAAAGAGCTCACAGATCACTCCACAGGGGGGTCCGGGCAGGTGTTGGGGCGTTTCCGGGCGGCATGAGCCGGGCTCGTTTTTCACCAACAGTCACACACTTCGTGCTCTTCGCCTTCCCAGAACTCCATTCCCAGGCCACATTCTGGGGGGCCGGATGCAACTGTAGGCCACTTCGTGCTCTTCGACATCCCAGAACGCCATTCCAGGGCCACATTCTGGGGGGCCGGATGCAACTGTAGGCCACTTCGTGCTCTTCGACATCCCAGAACGCCATTCCCGGGCCACATTCTGGATGCCCGGAGCCAACTGTAGGCCACTTCGTGTTCTTCCATTTCCCAGAACTCCATTCCCGGGCCACATTTTGGATGCCCGGAGCCAACTGTAGGCCACTTCGTGCTCTTCGAGTTCCCAGAACTCCATTCCCGGGCCACATTTTGAATGCCCGTAGCCAACTGTAGGCAACTTTGTGCTCTTCGACTTCCCAAAACTCCCATTCCTGGGCTACATTTTCAGCAGGGGCAAGAGCACGACGAGGGGGAGGACGAGCAAGACCAGGAGGACGAGGACGAGCAGGAGCAGGACGAGGAGCAGGAGAAGCAGGAGAAGAAGGACTAGCAGGAGGAGGAGGAGGACGAGCAGGAGGAGGAGGACGACCAGGAGGAGGAGGACGACCAGGAAGAGGAGGAGGAGGAGGAGGAGGGGAGGGGGAGGAGTACCAGGAGGAGGAGGAGGAGGAGGAGGAGGAGGAGGAGGAGGAGGAGGAGGAGGAGGAGGAGGAGGAGAGGAGTGGAGTGGAGAGGAGAGGAGAGGAGAGGAGAGGAGAGGAGAGGAGAGGAGAGGAGAGGAGGAGTAGGAGGAGGAGGAGGAGAGAGGAGGAGGAGGAGGGAGGAGGGGGGGGGACGGCCACCAAGGGAGGAGAACGAGGGACCACCAGGAGGGGGAGGAGGAGGAGGATGAGGAGGAGGAGTGAGGAGGAGGAGAGGAAACGAGGACACAGGAGGAGGAGGAGGAGGAGGAGGAGGGGGAGGAGGAGGAGAGGAGAGGAGGAGGAGGAGGAGGGGGATAGAACATCACGAGGAGGAGGACGAGCAAGACGAGGAGGACGAGAACGAGGGCGACCAGGAGGGAAGAGTAGGAAGGAGGAGGAGGAGGGCGAGGGGGAGGGACTACCAGGAGGAGGATGAGGAAGAAGAGGAGGAGAAGAGGAGAGGAGGAGGAGGAGGAGTGAGGAAGAGGCAGGGAGGAGGGACGAGGAGGAGGAGAGAGGAGGGACGAGGAGGAGGAGGGGGAGGTGAGAGAGAACCAGGAGGAGGAGAACCCCAGGAC